ATGTTCAACAGCTGTTTGGACACAATATCGCAATTATTTTTGCTTTTCAGGATCCATAAGTGAATGTGATAAATTTCTTGTTGAAAAAAAAAATGCTGTGCGAGGTCTGATGGAGTTTTTTGGCGATAGGGGGTTCAATTAAAGAATGACAACTGAGCAAAGAATTAAAATTAAATTTTGTGTCAAACTTGGAAAAACGGCGACTGAGACTTTGCAGATGTTGCGTGATGTTTATGGAGATTCTTTCATGTCCAGAACAAGAGTTTTTGAATGGCACAAGCGATTTGTGGAAGGCAGGGAGGATGTGGAGGATGATCCGAGGTCAGGGAGGCCTTGCACTTCCACTACTGATACCAACATCGAATAGGTTTGACAGTTGGTTCGCAGTGACCGTCGCTTAACAATTCGCGTCATTGCCAACGAAATTGGGATAGACAAAGAAACCATTTTGGTTGACACTTTGGGAATGCGAAAGGTGTGTGCCAAAATGATGCCAAAGGCTCTTGAGTTGACTGAGGAGCAGAAAGCTCAACGATTGAATGCATGCCGAGTTGACATGCATTTTTCCAAGTTTGACACAAAATTTAATGTTAATTCTTTGCTCAATCGTCATTCTTCAATTGAACCCCCTATCGCCAAAAAACTCAATCAGACCTCGCAAAGCATTTTTTTCAACAAGAAATTTATCACATTCACTTATGGATCCTGAAAAGCAAAAATAATTGCGATATTGTGTCAAAACAGCTGTTAAACAAAGAACACATATTATGCAACACTGCAAAAGTGTTGATTACCGATATTTAATCGTGTTGCGCAATCTGTGACGTCAGTCCCGTTTCTTTTTAGCCGCACCTCGTATATATATATATATATATCACTGAAGCGTGATAAAGGTCTGCCTTTTATTGCAAAATTTATGTTTTATGTCTTCACCAAAGTTTTTTGTACTAAATTATTGCAACGGTGCTAGGAAGACTGTTATTTTATTCTTTCTTATGTGTAGATTTTTAAATGATCAATTGTTAGTTTTATTCTACTGCATTCGAATAGATTCCGCAAGCTGGAAGGAAAATCACTTGGAATGATCTTTGAGAAAAACAGCACACGCACTAAAGTATCAACAGAAATTGGAACGCACTTGTTAGGAGGACATTCTTGCGTTATAACGTTATGAAGACGTTCAGGGCAGCAATAAAGCAGGGTCGGTAATTAATTGGAAGCAAGCTTTTAATTAGATTTTCTAGAGCAGGGTGGTCCAAAGTTGTCCGCTTCCGGGGCCACAAATTTATTTTTGCATTCTTCGGGGACCACAATAGTGCCAAGAATAGATAAACAGCGCAATACAGAACAAACACTTCTAGTGTGCAAACACAGTGATCAATATTTGTCATTTGACTCATTTATCAAGCTAAAACATGCGAAAATCACAAAAAAAAAACTCACTAAATCGTGCCAAAGTCTTTCTCTATACCTACATTTAGTGTAAGATTCAAAACTCTTCATAACTGAGAAAGTGCCTCCGCACATGTTTTTAAAAACATTGCTTTCTAAAAGCAGTATGCCAGGAAGTCGCAATTAGTTTGGTTGTCGCACCTGTTTTCCCTCAGGTTTGTCATTTAAATTTGTAACGAAATTTATATAAGCCTATCCTTTGAGAATCTCAATATTAGAAGGAGTAAACATTGTTTGAATATGAATTGTCATTTCTGTTGAAAGCTACAATTTTAGGCATTTACCACGAATGACTAACTTTTAATTCATTTGTAATTGATACCTACATTTTAAGTAATTTACGTCAATGCGGTGAACTGCCCAGTAGTTCATTATTTCTTCACCATACTTAAAATACGCTAAACAATCTTGTAGCTTTGGCAACGTAGGCCCGGATATGAGATAGCAAAATATGTGAGTGTTATCGGAAGAAGTAAACGACTAGTTTGAAGAGAAAGGTGTGAGAAAAGTGAGTGCACACGATGCAGCTACCGTTGAATGGTTATTGGATACGTCCTTTATTATCGGCTTACAAAATGTAGAAATACTGTCTATATTAGTATTTATTTATATATATATATATATATATATATATAACTCTATTACGGTAGTTAAACGGACCTGCCATAATTGCAGTACTTAAGCGGACGACGTTCCTGTGTCCGTATCATTGTTTTTAAATACGTACTTGGAGAGCGCGAGAGCCGTTGACAACTACGGAGAAAAAGAGTCAACACAATCCTCTTGATAACAGATATAAAATTTTTGTCCGCTTAATTCGTCCACTTAGTTCAGACCACCAAATGTTTTAGCCTATTTCGGCACTAAGCCGGACCCCTCTTATATGTCGCCCTGGATGTCTACATAAATGATGCTGCTTTTATTTTATTACGCATTTTAAAGCGTATGACCTCGCTTTAATTTCCGATGGATTCGAACCATTTAGCATTATTTATCACAGAAAATAGCATTTTTTTTTCAATGTTCAGTATTTTGTGCAAGGGAGATGCACTGTGTTTGGTGTAGGAAATAATCTTCCATGTCAAAAAATACTCAAAATGCAACGTGAAGGTAGACAAATCGAAACAAATTGATTCAAACGTAATATATATTTGAAACTGAGAAATACACAGAGCATATCACAAATGTTCGCCTATTCCAACCCTATGGTGTAACATATAGATTGAACAGATGCTATGTTGTGAGTGTCAAGATATCAATACCAAGTCAAAATTATTGCATTCAAATAATATTGATAAACTTTGCGCAAAATATATCTCAAAAATCCGCATATCTATATGGCTAGTTATTAAGCGTGACATATAATTGAAAAACAAAATTTTGAAATGCCATACATATTGAGAAACAATACACAAAATATATTTCAAATGTATCACCAATTTGATTGCTAAAGTGTGAAATATTATTTTAAAAAGGAAGTGTGGTATATAATAGTAAAATAAAAAATGAAAGTGCTAATATTATTGAGAAACAATAAAAGAAAATTATATATACGCAGAAGGAAACCGCAGAATGAAATTCATGTCATTAATGAAGACAAAAATCACACAAATTCGATTTCAAATGTTCATCTATTCGGTCACTCAAATGTGGCACGTAATTGAAAAATGAACACCAGCCCTATTGAGAAACATTACACACAATATATCTCAAATGTCCACTTATCCGGCATTTAAGTGTGGCATATAACAATTAAAATAAAAATTCTGAAATCATATTGAGAAATATTACACAAAGTATATCTCAAATGTCCACCTATCCGGCCACACTCTGAAATCATATTGAGAAATATTACACAAAGTATATCTCAAATGTCCACCTATCCGGCCACCTAAGTGTGGCATACAAGAATTGAAATGAAAATTTTGAAATCCTATCGAGAAATATCACACAAAGTATATCTCAAATGTCCACCTATCCGGCAACCTAAGTGTGGCATAAAGCATTAAAATGAAAACTCTGAAATCATATTGAGAAATATTACACAAAGTATATCTCAAATGTCCACCTATCCGGCCACCTAAGTGTGGCATAAAGCATTAAAATGAAAACTCTGAAATCATATTGAGAAATATTACACAAAGTATATCTTAAATGTCCACCTATCCGGCCACCTAGGTGTGGCATAAAGCATTAAAATTAAAATTCTGAAATCATATTGAGAAATATTACACAAAATATATTTTGAATGTCCACCTATCCGGCCACCTAAGTGTGGCATACAACAATTGAAATAAAAATTCTGAATTCATATTGAGAAATATCACAAACTTTATCTCAAATGTCCACCTATCCGGCCACCTAAGTGTGGCATAAAACAATAAAATGAAAATTCTGGAATCATATTGAGAAACATTACACGAAGTATATCTCAAATGTCCACCTATCCGGCCACCTAAGTGTGGCATAAAACAATAAAATGAAAATTCTGGAATCATATTGAGAAACATTACACAAAGTATATCTCAAATGTCCACCTATCCGGCCACCTAAGTGTGGCATAAAACATTAAAATGAAAATTCCGAAATCGTAATGAGAAACATTATGCGAAGTATAAATCAAATGTCCACCTATCCGGCCACCTAAGTGTGGCATACAAGAATTGAAATGAAAATTCTTAAATCATATTGAGAAACATTACACAAAGTATATCTCAAATGTCCACCTATCCGGCCACCTAAGTGTGGCATACAAGAATTGAAATGAAAATTCTGAAATCATATTGAGAAACATTACACAAAGTATATCTCAAGTGTTCACCTATCCGGCCACCTAAGTGTGGCATAAAACAATCACAATGAAAATTCTGAAATCATATTGAGAAACATTACACAAAGTATATCTCAAATGTCTACCTATCCGGCCACCTAAATGTGGCATAAAACGATCACAATGAAAATTCTGAAATGATATTGAGGAACATTACACAAAATATATATCTCAAATATCCGAATACCCGACTACCTAAGTGTAGCATACAACTATTGAAACCAATTCCTGAAATCATATTGAGAAATCTTACACAAAATATATCTCAAATGTCAACTTATTCGACCGCTTTAGTGTGTGAAATATCACTAAAATACGAAATTTCGAATACTAATCATATTTTGATGTTGTGGAAAATTGCTCAAACTTATCTCAAATGTTCACCTATCCGATAACTTGAGAGTGACAAATATTTTAAAACAAAATTTTGAAAATACAGAAAATATATCGCAAATTGTCATTTACTCAGCTACGTAAGTGTGTCATGTAAATGCAAAATGATATTTTGGAATGACAATAATATTAGGAAGCATTCAAAAAAAAATTTCAACCATCCGACCATTTCAGAAGGTATGTAATTCAAACCCGAAATTTTCTAAAAAAATATCGAGAACCATTACACACAACATATCTCAAATGTTCAATTAAGTGACGTTTTCAGTGGGGCCTATAAATGCGAAATGAAATTTTGCCATGTCAACTAAAATAAGAAACATTACACCAATTATAACTCAAATGTCTACCTATCAAGGCGCGCTTAAGTATAGCAGTGATTATACAGTCAACTATACAAGCGATCAACATGAAATTATTCAACCCCGATATCAATTTAGAATCTTTGCACAATTTATTTAAAATTTTTGCACCAACTCGGAATACAAAAACATGATTGTTATTTTGAATTTATAATTAAATAGTAAAAATGTATGCCAAGTATGTATACGAATGTGGATATGCCCACTAGATTAAGTTGTTGATGAGAGACAAAATTATGTGCTCACTGCCGGTTCATCTTTATGAATTATACAGAGATGTCTTAAAGCTTTACAATAAACTTCTCGCAAGATATACAAAGCCGTGCAATTATTTTTCTTTTCGTCGTTTCTTTTCTGGTTCACGTTTATTTAGAAGCTTTTTTTGGAATTGATTTACAGCCCTTTTCTTTTCCGTATATATGATTTTCTTTCAAGTCACTTACATTGTTTATTGAAAGTGATTCTGAAGATGGTGCGGTATAGTCTGTTGACTAATCTGAAACTTTGGTCAAAAATACATGCATAAGTCACAAAACATCATCACAGTGTTCTAGTCCAATTCAGAATTACGGTACTCTTGATTGACCGAACAAACGAAGTGTTTGAAATGGGGAATTGCATTATTACTCAAATAAACAGTGAGGGCTCCCGAAGTATGCGAACCAAGATGGCGGACATCGGAATGTAATATGTGTACTAGGTTAGGGTTAGTCCATAATTTTAGGTATAAATACTACGGGAGGCTCTTGCTAGTCTTCGAACTGATAATAGGACTAAAATAAGGAAAACTGGAAAAAAATTATCGCCTAACCCTAACCTGTTACCCATGTTACGTTCCGATGTCCGCCATCTTGGTTCGCATACTTCGGGAGCACCAAACAGTGTTTTTAAACGGAGCACTACAATTATTCGTAGATAGCCGCGCTATTTGTGATGGGCTACAATTGATATTATGATTTGGTTTATTACCATTCATTGGTATCAATTTGAGATACCGTATTTAATTAAAAACAAGCATAGCAAACTAATTCAATCACCTCCTGGCACAGCGTTCTCCGAATCACTACCCGCATTTCCGTCTGCCAAGTTCTGAAACGTAGGCCATCTCGTTGGAGAGTCACTTACATGTGAACAAAAAATACAGCCCAGTAAATAGCTAGATGAGGATGGTAAAATAACACAGGGATATGTGCCAAATCACAAAACAAAATTGCTAGCAATGCAATTCTTTAAAACTGTTTTCCGAAGATAAAATATTCTAATCCAATATGAAGCGGTGTATTAGATAATTTTATTTATACAAAGCTATACAAACCTATATAAAGTGGCGTCAACCACTCGCTTCTCGTATCTCCTTCTGTTTCGAGAAAAATTTTAATTCGTTGAATTTTCACAATCTTCGTTTGTATTGTCATCTGGATTTAGAAATCCTTCTGAATTACACACTCTTACAAACGCAAACCCAGTCGTAGCAATATTTTGATGGTCAGATCAGAACTACGACCAGTAAAAGCATAACAGTATCAGTAGTCTTTTGATAATCAGGAATAAGTGAAAAATCTCAACAACAAAAATATATGCTAATGATTTGGTTTCTGCAAGACTAACCACTTATCCTTCTTCTATGCTTTTGTGTCGGCGGATCCGTATGCATATAGTGCAAGGATGCTGTAGCAAGAGTAAAGATAACTATCCTACAGTCCTATGTGATTCAAGAGTCTTGATGCACACTAACACAATTATATTTCTGTAACGTTTCGTCTGACCAAGATCAGACTCCTTCAGACATACATCACTTAGAACTTAGAACAAAAATATAGTAGCCCTATTATTAAAAATCGTTATGACTAATCACCTTATCCGATGAGTGATGATTTCCAGCAGCATTCTTCGGTGGAGTTGAAAACCTTGTTTCAAGTTATTATGACTCGACTTCAACTCACTGGGTAATTGATAACACCCGACACAAAAGACTTGGATCGCTTCTCCAAACACAACTGTTCTATTTTATCTAAATTTCTGCAATCACGCACTCATGAAGATCCCGATCCCCTCGCGGCGTCCAGGTTACTTGCGAACAAAACGGCAAACGTGGTAGGTAAAGTTCTTGGCAAACCCGACAGTTTTACTATTGCGACACAAAGCCTCTTTAGTACGGAGTTGTGAATTGAGGTCCTTTTCAGTTTATTGAGCTTATATTGCAAAAAACAGAACGAACGATCTTCATGTTCTGCCTGGTTATTGTATCAAAATTATCAATCCTACTCTCCAAAAATCGTAAAGACATATACCGAAAAATTAAAAGATTTTCGCGTAAACAAAATGTCCGCTCAGTGTACGAAAATTATACCCGTTGATTATAAACCAGCAGAACTACTGTCCCCTTAAAGTTGGCGAAAATATGCAGATATTTTAAAAATATTGAAAGAACATATTGTTTTTGATACTGTTTTATCAGAGAAAAAGAGATTTCAGCAAAAAATAGCAAAACGTTTTAATTATGGAACGTGGAATAATTAAGCGGACAGGAAAATGTCTACCCAATTTTTCCGTCTACATAACTGTCGCTTTTTTAGCACGGTATGTCTACTTAACTACCGTATTAGATATATATACAAATATAACTTTCTCATTCCTTACGCAATTGGATAAAGTACAGAAATAATATTCATATATATGAGAAACTTGGTAAAAACATACTACATAGAATGTGGATTCATCGAACACTGCCTCGATGTAATACACTCAGATGTGTTACTCATATTCGAAAACAATCTACATCACCAAAAAGGTAGGAAATACATATTTAAATCAACCCAAACTACTTTTTTTTACAAATAAAAAACAGAGTTAGTTTATTGTTTACCTTTTCATGCCCACAGTGTTGCATCTACAAATCATGCTCAGATATGTCGACAGCAGGACATTCTCGATGAAAGGAAGAAGTTTGCTTTCACTAGCAGACTATACTAGAGAAGATTTCTTCATTTATTGAGCAGTGCTGCTGACCTAAAGTTAAGGATGAAGCAACTGAACGAAGGTATTACAAATCTTTCCCAGTGTCTCCTTTGTCGTGGAAGATTGAGAAGGGTAGAATAGGGTAGGGTTTTTGTGTTATTCCTGGGAATCGGAAAAGATGATAAAGACAGCTCAGTCATATATATATGATGAACTCTTTGAATGAAGCTTTTTTGAATCCTTCTCGATCATACTCTAGGTCGATTTCATTGTAGCATATAGTTCTAGAATCTAGATGATGAAGGAAGCAATAACCGACCAGCTGTTACGTGATCCAGGAAAACTTTCATAAGTACACTTAAGCATCGAC